CACAACTTATTAGAAGAACTAGAACGATTTGGAGAAGTTGCAGGATTTAAAATAAACAGGGGAAAAACAAAATTAATGACTAAAAATTTAACAGGAGACCAGAATAAAGAGCTAGAGACAACAATGGGAATACAGGTGACAAAAAAATTAAATACTTAGGAATTTGGCTAACTCCACAAAGCAAATCGTTAAAAGAAAACAACTATGACAAACTTCTCCAACAATCCAAGAAAGACTTAGATTCCTGGAGTAAATTACAACTTTCCTTATTGGGCAGGATTGCTTTGATTAAGATGAATATTCTGCCAAAATTTCTATATTTATTCCAGACAATTCCAATCAAATTAAATAAAAATTTTTTTATGGAACTAAACAAGATAACGTTGAAATTTATTTGGCAGGGGGAAAAAGCTAGGATTAACGTAAAAGCCCTACAAGATTTGAAAAGCAGAGGAGGGTTAGCCCTGCCAAACTGGGAAATATATCATACGGCAGCCACCCTACTATGGATAAAGGATTGGGTGAATCTAACCAACAAAAGAACACTAGTATTAGAAGGCCACGATATGCAGAAAGGATGGCATGCCTTTCTGTGGGAAACTGGGAAACCCAGGCAATCATATTTCCATAGGCATCTTATCAGGGACTCTTTATTAACTAATTGGAAAAAAATACGTAAAAAACTTTATCTAAAAATACCGATTTGGCTATCACCAATGGAAGCGATAGTACACCCTAATAATTTGGACATAACCAAAATGATTAAGTACGAAAATTTATTAGACCCACAAGGAAAGCTGAAAACACGACAAGAATTACAAGAGCGAGGATTTATAATTGATCAGTGGGTGTACCTTCAAATTCATAGTAGATACAAACAAGACATTAAGGAATTTGGAATCTACAATAAATTACAGACTTTAGACAAAATTCTATTAGGACCGAGTAAAAAAAAATATCTAAATTTTACAAACATTTATTAGAAACAGAACTAGAACAAGAAATTGTCAAAGGAAATATGATTGCATGGAGCAGAAACGTGGGTCGGAGCATTACCCTAGCCGAATGGGAAAAGATCTGGAACAGGAACATTAAGATCACGAAATCAGCAGCTTATAAAGAAAACTCATATAAAATGTTTTATAGATGGCACCTGCCCCCTTCGAGATTGGCGAAGATGCACCCCAACACGAGCCCCAAATGTTGGAAATGTCAAAATATAGAAGGTACCTTCTTCCACATGTGGTGGTCATGCAAGGAAACCCAGAAGTACTGGCAAAAAATTAGGCACTGGCTAGAGGAAATAACCAAGGAACAAATTGAGTACAAACCAGAGTCCTTCCTTCTAGGAATTTTTGATAAACAAATATCCAAAAAATCAAAGTATATTACAATCCATATCTTAACCGCGGCCAGACTGGCATTTGCCCAGTGCTGGAAACTACCCTCTATCCCCACTGAACTTATGGTTATTCAGAAAATTTTACAATGCGCCGAAATGGACAAACTAACCCAAGCGTTAAAAAATAAAGAATCCTCAACCTATTATAGCAATTGGATTCCTTTGTATAATTGGCTAAACCAAAGATAGATCACCTTTAGGAAAATTAAGGCCGAGGCCCCCGAAGCAGAGATAAAGAAAAGCACCGCCGACGATAGTTTTGAAGAAGAAAGGACCTTACAGACAGTCACAAAAAATATGGTTTTATTATAATTGTTTTCCCTACTTTCCCCCCCCCCCTTCCCTTCCCTTTCCCTCTTTCCTCTCTCAAGCCTCCCTCTCTTTCCCTCTTGGCCTATGCCAAGACCTGTTTGTCTTTTTGTTGTATATAATTTGTAGCTGTGTTGTTGTTTTTTAAAAGTAAAATTAATAAAGTTTTTTCTAAAGAAAAAGAAAAAAGGACGTAAGTAAAGCAGAATATCAGTAAATAGCCTGAATCTGCAAAGATGAAATCAGGAGGGCAAAGTTTCAGAATGAACAAAAACTTGCAACAAAAGTCAAAAATAATAATAAAAAGGGTTCTTTCAATATATAAATAACAAGAACAGGGTCAAGGAAACTGTTGGTCCACTAAAGCAGGGGTCACCAACCTTTTGTACCTCGGGAATCACCAAACTCATAATTTTAAATCCCAGGGACCATTAATATGAATTTTGACTGACGATGGCTTGTTGACATTGGTGGGAGAGAAAGAGAGAGATCTGATCTAACCTCTCTCTCTCTCCCTCTCTCTCTCTCTCTCTCATACACACACGCACAAACACACAGAGGCGGGGTGCAATTCAAATTTCTTAAATGGTTCTCGGGTGTGGCCTAACTTGTGGGTGTGGCTTGGTGGTCATATGAGTGGTTGGGCATGGCTTGTATATAAATATAAATATTTATGTAAATATTGAATTTTTTATATTAAAGAGCAACTTTTACCTAAAATCAGACAAAGCAGGTAGGCAGATTGAGTTGCTCATAGAATCACAGATTCAGAGATCTATCTTTCTGCCATTGGCTACCTGAGTGTCACATAAAATTTGCTAGCAAGCAAACTCACAAAATTAACTCACAGCACACTGTGTATATAAATATTGAATTTTTTTTATTAAAAAAGAGCAACTTTTACCCAAAATCAGGCAAAGCAGGCAGGCAGATTGAGTTGCTCACAGAATCACAGGTTCACTTAGACATCTGTGTTTCTGCCATCAGCTATCTGAGTCTGCACTGAATAATAGAACCTTCAGTCCTAAGGGAGGTTCTAAAGATCTAAAGATTAGTTAGAAAGCAAGAAATCCAATGATTTCCTGCTTTCTAGCTAATCTAAATCTCCCGGCACACAGAACAGCTGATGGTCAAGGGAAAAAAAAGGAAAAATAGCAACTTAGCCAGCAAGTTTGCCAGATAAAGAGTGAGTGGGCGGGGAGGGTTCCCATGGGCCATGTGGGCTGTGCAGCCTTATGTTCCTGCGCAGCCTGGATTAATTGCTTTGGGGGGATGTTCTGGGGGTGACATTTCTCTGTGGACCACCAAAATTTTCTCGTGGACCAGCAGTGGGCCACGGACCACCAGTTGGCGACCACTGCACTAAAGAAAGAGAAGAGGGCTAGAAAGTCACAGGCAGTAAAGAGAAAGCAGAGCTGCTTAACTTATTCTTTGTACCCGTCTTCACACAAAACAAACCTATAACTCAACCTACCAAAAACATAATTGTAAAAGACTAGAAATAAAAATTAAAATAAACAAGAAAATGATAAGATGAATATAAAACACTGGGACCTGATGGATTACATCCTAGAATCCTGAAGGAGCTGGCAGATGTTATCTCAGAACCATTGTATCATATCTTTAAAAAAAATCCTGCAGCACCAGGGAACTAACAAAGGATTAGAAAAAAGTTTATGTGGTTCCCATCTTCAAAAAAGTGCAGGGGATGATGACACAGACCCAAGAAACTACAGACCAATCTGCCTAACATCAATCCCTGGGAAGATATTGGAAAAAACAATCAAAGAACAAATCTGCAAACATCAAGAAACAAAATTATAACTAAAAATCAACACGGGTTTGTTAAAAACAGATCATGTCAAACCAATCTTATCTCATTTTTTGACAAAGTGGCTAAATTAGTAGACCAGCAAAATGATGTGGACATAGTATGCAGTATTTAGACTTCAGTAAGTGATTCAATAAAGTAGACCACAACCTATTTCTTGGTAAACTAGAAAAATGTGGGACAGACAGCATCACCATCAGATGGATTTGTATGCTCTTCAATTTTTTCATACATGACTTAGATGAGGGAATAGAAGGGGAACTCATCAAATTTGCAGATGGCATTAGGCTGGCAAGAATAGCCAACACTCAGAAGAAGCTCAGGATCCAAAAAGATTGTGACAGACTTGAACAATGGATCCAACAACATGAAATTTAATATGAAAAAAAAAGCAAGGTTTTACACCCAGGCTGGAAAAACCAAAGGTACAAATATAGTTTAGGTGAAACCTGGCTCAAAAACAGGAACTGTGAGAGTTCTAGTGGGCGACCACATAAATATGAGCCAACTGTGTGCGGCAGCAGCCAAAAAACCTAATACAATCCTTGGTTGGATAAAGAGAGTCATAAAATCAAAATCACATGAAGCATTGGTACCACTTTATAAAACCTTATTAAGACCACGCCTGGAATACTGCATCTAGTTTTGGTGACCACATTACAAAAAAATGTTGAGACTCTGGAAAAAGTGCAAAGAAGAGCTACTAAGATAATTACGGACATGGAGACAAAAACATATGAAGAACGGTTGTAGGAATTGGGTATAACCAGTCTAGAGAAATAAGGACTAGGGGTGGCATGATAGCAGCATTCCAGTATTTAAGGGGCAACCACAAACATGGGGTCAACTTATTTTCCAAAGTCCCAGAAAGCAAGAGAAGAAACAATGGTTGGAAACTAATCAAGGAGAGAAGCAACCTGGAATTATGGAGAAATTTCCTAACTGTGAGGACAATTAACCAGTGGAACAGCTTGCCTTCAGAAGTTGTGGGTGCCTCATCACTGGAGGTTTTTAAGAAAAGACTGGACAGCCACCTGTCTGAGATAGTATAGGGTCTCCTGATTGAGCAGGGGGTTGGACAAGAAAACCTCCAAGGTTTTCCAGCTATATTCTCTTTCCATTTACGGGGTTGCAGGAAGAGATTGGCTTTTATTGGGAAATGACGGTCCCTGAAAGTATCTGCAAGATCCCAAGATTAGCTGGATTGTTCTTTGTGGATAATACAAGCTCAGACTTAGTTGTAGATGTATGTTATTGATTATTACCTGGCCAAGGTTGTTATTAAAATTAGTAGCTAAAAATGTTTTAAATAAATAAATAAATAAAAACTGGATTCAAAGAAAGAATTCCTGAGAAAGGATAGGTAGCCAGGTTAGTAAGACATGTTTTGATTAAGTTAAAATGACTGATCTAACTTTGCTGTTTTATTTCTCACTCCATTCTTTTAGACTGTTTTAGAGAATGTTTGGAACATATTTCCGGGTTGGTTTTTATGGCAGCAAATTTGGAGACTTGGATGAACAAGAGTTTGTCTACAAAGAACCTTCTATTACTAAATTAGCTGAAATTTCTCATCGACTTGAGGTAAGAGCTAAAATATCCTCAAAGGAGATGTAATAATGATTGAATATGTAAAAGACAACAGAGGCAACAGAGATTGAATTGTGAATAGGAACCCTGCACTAATTGTGTCTCTTTAGAGCAGGGGTGCCAAACTTAATTTCATTGAGGGCTACATCAGGACTGTGCTTGGCCTCGTGGGGGGCGGGGGGGCAGGGGACCATGGCTGATTGGTTGGGCGTGACCGACTGGGTGAACATGGCCAGCTTGATGTCACTCCCCAAATTGCTGGCATGTTTTCTCTTCACACTGGGTAGACGGGCTGAAACCTTGCTTGCCCAATGTTTCCTCTTCGAACTGGGTAGACTGGGCCGAAGCAACATGGGCCAGCCGCTTATATTTTCCAGGATGGCCCCATGGGCTGCATCTGGCCGGGCCTTTTGTTTGACATTCCTGCTTTAGACCATTTGCATGCACACACAGCCTTGCTCCTATGGCTTGGTAAGAATTTCCTGAAAAGAAAATTCCATTCTTGGCTTTCAGAAACCTATACAAGTAGTCCTCCACTTACAACCATAATTGACCCCCAAATTTCTGTTGCTAAATGAGTTTTGTCCCATTTTATCACCTTTCTTGCTACAGTTAAATCAATCCCTGCAGTTATTAAATTAGTAACACGGTTACTAGGTGAATCTGACTTCCACATTGACTTTGCTTATCAGAAGGTCACAAAAGGTGATCACATGACCCTGAGACACTGCAACCATCATAAATATGAACCAGTTGCCGATCATCTGAATTTTGATTGTGTGACCATAGGGATGCTGCAGTGGTCATAAGTGTGAAAAACAGTCATAAGGCACTTTTTTCAGTGTCATAATATTGAATGGTCATCAAATGAATGCTTGTAAGTCAAGGACTATCTGTATACACTGTGCAGTGTGCATATGCATGGTGATCAGACTAGCTGATTTCCATAAATTCTTATCTAGGAAGTAGTATCAACATACTTGATGTTTTATTTAAATTAATACAGTCTATTAATATATTTAGTTATTAGTTTTTATTTATTATTTTATAAATATTGTAACTCAAAGCAATGAACTAAAATAATACTCCTTCCCCCTCCTATGTTCCTCATAACAACAACCCTACAAATTGGATTGGGGTAAGAGTGTGTGACTGGCCCAAAGTCACCCAATTGGCTTTCATGCCTAAGGTGGGAGTAGAACTCATCTCCTGTTTGTGTAAGCCAGCACTTTAACCACTACACCAAACTGGCTCTCACTTTGATAAGAATATAAGAATAAGCTTCTATAATTTAGACCAGTGGTCGCCAACTGGTGGTCCATGGCCCACTGGTGGTCCATGAGAAAATTTTGGTGGTCCGCAGAGAAATGTCACCCCCAGAGCACCCCCCAAAGCAATTAATCCAGGCTACGCAGGAACACAAGGCTGCACAGCCCACATGGCCCATGGGAACCCTCCCCGCCCACTCATTCCTTTCCTGGCAAACTTGCTGGCTAAGTTGCTGTTTTTCCTTTTTTATTCCCGACCATTAGCTGTTCTGTGTGCCGGGAGATTTAGATTAGCTAGAAAGCAGGAAATCATTGGATTTCTTGCTTTCTAGCTAATCTTTAGATCTTTAGAACCTCCCTTAGGACTGAAGGTTCTATTATTCAGTGCAGACTCAGATAGCTGATGGCAGAAACACAGATCTCTAAGTGAACCTGTGATTCTGTGAGCAACTCAATCTGCCTGCCTGCTTTGCCTGATTTTAGGTAAAAGTTGCTCTTTTTTGATAAAAAAAATCAATATTTACAGACATGGTGTGTTGTGAGTTAATTTTATGAGTTTGCTTGCAAGCAAATTTTATGTGACAGACTCAGGTAGCTGATGGCAGAAAGATAAATCTCTGAATCTGTGATTCTATGAGCAACTCAATCTGCCTGCCTGCTTTGTCTGATTTTGGGTAAAAGTAGCTCTTTTTTAAATAAAAAAAATCAATATTTACATACATGGTGTGTTGTGAGTTAATTTTGTGAGTTTGCTTGCAAGCAAATTTTATGTGGCACTCCGGTAGCCAATGGGAGAAAGATAGATCCCTGAATCTGTGATTCTGTGAGCAACTCAATCTGCCTGCCTGCCTTGCCTGATTTTGGGTAAAAGTTGCTCTTTTTTTATAAAAAATTCAATATTTACATAAATATTTATGTTTACATACAAGCCATGCCCAATCAGTCACATGACCACCAAGCAATACCCACAAGTTAGGCCACGCCCGAGAACCATTTAAGAAATTTGAATTGCACCCCTGCCTCTGTGTGTTTGTGTGTGTGTGTGTGTGTGTGTGTGTTTGTATGAGAGAGAGAGGGAGAGAGAGAGAGAGAGAGAGGTTAGATCAGATCTCTCTCTTTCTCTCCCACCAACATCAACAAGCCATTGTCAGTCAAAATTCAAATTAGTGGGTCCCTTGGATTTAAAATTATGAGTTTGGTGGTCCCTGAGGTACAAAAGGTTGGCGACCCCTGATTTAGACAAGTATCCAATACTTTCCAATACTTGAGGGGTTGATTTATTTGATCCAACCTAGAACTAAGGACAAATTTCCTAACAGTGAGAATAATTAATCAGTGGAACAGTTTATCTCTACAAGATTTGGGTGCTCCATCACTGGAGGGCTTCAAGAAAAGACTGGACAATGATTTGTCTGGAATGGTATAGAATCTGCAGCGGGTAGACTAAAAGACCTCCAAGATCTCTTTTAACCCTGCTGTTCTTTGTTCTGTGTTCTAAGAACTTTGTAGATAAAATTCCATTGATTTGTTATATTTTTCCTTTCTTATATCATGACCACAATTTACTAGTATTTTGCTTTCCAATTTTAGTGTTCTGTTCATCTGTGAAAGGATGATAAATTTGGGTGTGTTACATTGGCATAAAGGTGTTTGATATTCATTTGTTCTGAAACTGTATTGGAGCATAGATTTGGAATCACCCTTGTAATGAAAGACTTGCCTAGGCTCACATTCAGATTGTATAATTTGGGGGGTTGTGTCTCAACACTGATTTATGCACTCTTCTTTAAAAACTTCTTTTACTCTTTTCTTGTTAACAATAGATGATTTGGTACTCCTCTGGTATGAAAAGCAACCACTCCAGTCCATTTCAGTTAACTGAGGATCACTAATACCTACTATGTCAATCTTAGGTCTTGTTATATTACTGGCTTACCTATCTTGGCAGCATCAAATTTTCATTTTGCCTCTAGGCACATCAATAGCCACTTGATTTTAATGCTCTGTCACTCTGCTACTCTTGTTTTCACTGCGCTTTTTCCCAGTAGCTTGTTGGATACTTTCCAGGCATGCAGGCTCATCATCTACTATCATGTAGACATGATTTTGATTATGAATATTTATTTTCTTTCTCTTGGCAGAATACTGGAATGGATTGCCATTGCTGCTTCATTGCTGACCTGAACCCATGTTTGCGGGATCTTGGGTAGCCTGGGTGGGAATATGTAGTTCTAACAATTATAGGAATAAATAAGAGATGAACTAGGTACAATTTGATAAAGATATTGACAAGATCCTGGTGTATTTCCCTTCCTTTTTTAAATAATAGATTGGGGAGTGGGAAGGGTTCTCTGTTGATGTTGTAGAAAATGTACCACATACTATGAGAAATGGCATAAATATACAGAGTGGTCTCTTAGGCAAGATCTCACATTTAGGGGAAATCTAATTCTTCCTAAGGGGAATTTTCTGCATCTTTTCTGTATGCTCATCCTCCTGAAGGATGCTTTAACTGAAGTATGAGATAAGCTTATCACGTGTCCTGGAGTAAGACAGTGATGTATCTTACTCAAACTTTTATACTGATATAATCAGAGGTGCTATTCGACCGGTTCGCACCTATTTGGGCAAACCGGTAGCGGTTATTTGGCGTGGGTTGCCAAACCAGTGGTAATCCTTGGCTGGCCATGCCCCCAACCCGGTCGCCCAGTTGCTCACTTGTGATTGCTCTCCTAGCTTTCTGTTCCCCACGTCCTCTTTCTCCCCAGGGAAAAGGAAGAAAGGCATGGACACTGCAAGTATTACTTTCCCCATGTGAGTAAAGTGCCTGGAGTGAGAAAGAGTGCAGTCTGACAGAGGGGGTGGGGGAGAATCAAGCCTTGGAGCACTTTTGCAAGTAAAAGAATCCACTCAAGCCTTGGAGAAATTTAAAGGAGCTGCATCCAAACTGCTTCTCTGTTAAGTTCTCTCTCTCTCTCTCTCTCTCTCTCTCTCTGTGTGTGTGTGTGTGTGTATGAGACAGAAAGTGAGAGAAGGAAAGAAAAGAAAAGAAAAGAAAAGAAAGAAAGAAAGAAAGAAAGAAAGAAAGAAAGAAAGAAAGAAAGAAAGAAAGAAAGA